GAGAGGGTTCTGGGTTGGAGTCCCGGGGGAACCAGGACCAGAGGGTTCTGGGTTGGAGTCCCGGGGGAACCAGGACCTTTCTGGGTGGAGTCTGCATGTTCTCCTGTGTCTGTGGGTTCTCTCCGGGTTCTCCAGCTTCCTCCCACCGTCCAAAAACCTGCATGTTAGGTTGTTGGACTCCAAACTGCCCTTAGTGTGAGTGTGTGTGGTTGTTTGTCCTTGTGTGTCTCTGTGTGTCCCTGTGATGGACTGGGGACCGCCTCTCCCCATTGGCTACTGGGATAGGCTCCGCCCCCCCCACGACCCCATTAGGGAATAAGGGGTAATGATGATGGATGGATGGGTGATGGCTGATGGGTGGAGCTTATGGGTGGAGCTAACAGGCTGTGTGCAGGCGGGTGGAGCTAACGGGCTGTGTTCAGGCGGGTGGAGCTAACGGGCTGTATGCAGGCGGGTGGAGCTTATGGGTGGATGGTGTGTGGAGCTAACGGGCTGTGTTCAGGCGGGTGGAGCTTATGGGTGGATGGCGGGTGGAGCTAACGGGTTTTGTGCAGGCGGCAGCCCGGAGAACGCGGAGGAGCGCTTGGTGAACGAGATCCTGGGTCCGGATCGCTACAACAAACTGATCCGGCCCGCCGTCAACAAGAGCCAGAAACTCACCGTCAGCCTCCAGGTCTCTCTGTCCCAGCTCATCAGCATCGTGAGTACAGAACATCTATACCTCCATCTATCTCTCCATCCATCTATACCTCCATCTATCCATCTATACCTCCATCCATCCCTCTATCCATCCATCCATATATACCTCCATCCACACCTCCATCTATCCATCTATACCTCCATCTATCACTCCATCCATCTATACCTCCATCTATACCTCCATCTATACCTCCATCCACACCTCCATCTATCCTTCCACCCGTCATCCACCCATCCATCCATCCACACCTCCATCTATACCTCCATCTATACCTCCACCCATCCCTCTATCCCTCCATCCACACCTCCACCCATCCATCATCCTCCCATCATCCCTCCATCTATACCTCCATCCACACCTCCATCTATCCCCCCATCCACACCTCCATCTATCCCCCCATCCACACCTCCATCTATCTCTCCATCCACACCTCCATCCACACCTCCATCTGTCCCTCCATCTATACCTCCATCCACACCTCCATCTATCCATCTATACCTCCATCTATACCTCCATCTATACCTCCATCTATTCCTCCATCTATACCTCCA